AGCTCCAGGGTGCATCAGTGGGAATAGCAGGCAGAACCATCGAAGCCAGGATTGAGATGACCCAAGGAGTTCAAGTCAGTCAGCAGAGATTTCAGGGTTGGTAAAGCAAGTGGGAGCTGAGGAGATGGGACCTAAACATGGACTCAGGCAGGGCTGGGGTGGCTTGTCTCCACCTCTTCTTAGCTTTGTCCTGGTTTGTCCACCCCCTTTTCCTGGGAACAGCATATCACTGTCTGTCAGAACCAGCTCTCGGGCCTCCTGCCTGGACTAATGCAGTATCCCGATTGGTCTTCACCTCCCCTCCAAGCCATCTGCACGTTGCCACCACTACAGCCGGTTAATCTTAACACACAGCTTTGCACATCTCTGAAGAAGACTCAGTGGCTGATGCTGGTCCAGCCTGAGTCGTGGATGGAAGCCACTCTCCCTGTGGACCCTGCAGCCTCATCCTCCACCACTCTTCCCACTCACTACATTTTTAGTCTGAGTATGCCCTGCACATTCCCTCCTCTGCCCCTGTGCTGCTGCTCTCCCAGGTGGGGCTGCCCTCCATGGGTGTGCTTTTCCTGCACATTCCTCCCCACTGGCCTGCTGACTGCAGCTGGATTTGAGCTCCATGTCACTCCTAGCTTTTGTCCCGGCTGAGCTGTAGCTTACAGATAATCTGTCCTGGCACACATGAGGGTTGCTCCCACTATCCATGGGCTGGGGCTTTGAGTAGTCACAGGTTTTAAATCCTTCTGTTTTACAGAGCAGCCTCATTGCGAGATGGTGGTACTCTGTTTAACAGAAGAGGTTCCTGGGGGATCTGAGCTGCTAAGGGACTTGCCCAAGGTCACATGGGTAGAAAGGCTGAGTTAGCAGGCCTGCTGTCTTCAGGTTCAGTCCCACCTTTTTATCACTAATATGCTGTCCACAGAGGACGCTTGAAAGCATAGCAAAGGGAGAAGCTACGGTAGCAAGCAGCTAACCTGGGATGATGGTTGCTGCAAGGTGATAGTCAGAGGGGAGAGCAAGTTGGGAGAAGGGGAAGGGAGGTCTACAGCAAGTATCAGCACAGAGCAGAGGCCTGGGCCTCAGGGGCAGTTGTTCAGGCTGCCTGGCTGCCCTTTGCACACACATCCATGGACCCTGACATCTGTGAACCATAGGAAGGATGCAGCTGAGACCTGTGAAAGGGATTCTGAAGCCAGGGAGTCAGTGAAATGAGGCTGGAATCTGCCGAAAGGGTTATGTACATTCTGTGTGTGCCTTCTCTGGGTGTGTGGTGGGGGTGGCATTGTTAGATGTGTCTCTGAAAAGCCCCTTTCCAAAGGAATTATGTCATTACCATAAAGAGCCCACACCTCTCCAAGCCTCAATTTCCCAGGGCTGTCTTGGAGGCTCCTGTCCCTCCTTCATTTGGTTACGAATACAGAGGAAATGAACTCTGGGAGGTCCTCAGCCCAATGGCACAGTGCTGGGTACTAACAGAAGTTGGCTCGGCCTCTGCCCCTTTGAGGTGGCAGTGATCAGAATTACTGCTGCAGTCCCCGGGGCAACCATGTTACTAAGATTGTGCCTGTGTCCTGTCCAGTGTTTGCAAAACATTCCCAGCGTCTGATTTAGTAACTTGGACAGACCTGTCTTTGAGCACTTTATTTTCCCATGGATCACTGGGTGACAGGATACTGGGCTCTGGAAAGGAAGAAGCCTGGCCCCTAAGTGTCTGCAGGAGAGTGGCAGGACTGAGGGAGAGTACCTGGTCCCCAGTCTACCTGCACCAGGGACCCCTGCTTCTCCAGAGCAGCTTGGCAGGGTAGGGTGGGGGCTTTGCTTCAGCCTTTGCTGCTACTCCTCACTAATGGGGACCAATGATATAGGCCTCAAGGGGTGCCCTGCACCAGCCTTCTCACTGAACCCTTTGTTGGTGTGCTGATGAGCTGGGTATGCATGTGTCCCCAGGCTGCTGGTGTGGACTACCAAGGACTCCAGTGATGACATCAGGGCTGGAAGATACCCACCCTGTGTATACACAGTAGCTGTCCTCTTAGGAATCATTGATGAAGCAAATAGATATCAAAAACTATGATGCTAGTGGGGCATGGTGGCCCACACCTGTAATCCCAGCACTCAGGAGGCTGAGGCTGGAAGTTTTTGAGTTCAAGGCCAGCCTAATCTGGGCTATATAATGAGATCCTTTTCTTTTTTTTAAAGAAAAAAATCCAAACTAAAACCAACCAACCAACCAAAAACTATTAAAAGCTTCTATGCTTTCAGCTACTTAAAAAGAGTTTTATAGAGGGCTGGAGATGTGGCTCAGCAGTTAAGAGCACTGGCTGCTCTTGCAGAGGACCAGGGTTCAATTTCCAGCTCCTGCATGGCAGCTAATAACTAGCTGTAACTCAAGTTCCAGGGGACCCGACTCCCTCTTCTGACCTCTGTAGGCATTGCACATTTATATATATACAGGCAAATACACTCATACACATAAAAACAAAAAATAATTTTTAAAAAAGTACAAGTTGAATTATCTTGTATTCATTTAGCATGTTTGGGAGCAGAAGTGTTTTGGATTCAGGATTTGGGGATATTTGCATGTACATAATACGATATCTTGGGAATGGACCCATGTCTGACTTCATCCATGGGTTCATATACTCCTTGTACATGCTGCCTGGTGGTAATTTTATGTAACATCTTTAGTGTACTTGTTTTGGCCATGAACCATCACATGAGATCAAGTGGAAATTTTTTACTTGTGGTATCATGTTGATACTTAGGAAGTTTTGGATTTTGGAGCATTTTGGATTTGGTTTTTAGATTAAAGATGCTCAATTTGTACATTTTCAATGCCATAAAATATATCCATTGTAAACATACCTCTGCTCTGCTGTCACATCAATGGTGAAAGCTTTATGCATAAATCTCTGGTGATTTGAAGTATAACTTTATATTCACCAGAAGATGTGTCTGGACTCATCTCTGTGGCTTGGGTCTGAATCTTGACTATCTAGTGTTACTGGGATCAAGGTGATGTGGGATTGGGTACCTTTCCTGTCTTCCTACTCTGTGACTTGAAACCTATCACTCACCACCTCTCAGTTTCTACTCCCTTGTAACACAAGCAAAGGAGGGCTGTTAGGTAGGTGGAGAAGCCCACAGAGAGCCAGGAACCTGTGAGGCACCATGCCTATGTGCTCAGTGCTCAGGGTAGAAGACCAGACAGGTAGCAAAGTGAAATGGGAGGTATGCTCGGTGACCATTGCTCCCTAGCAACTGGATTTTGGAGTTCAGAGTGGGGTCAGGAGGCATTTGAGCCCTGGGCTTTATCTGTAGTTACAATGACCTCTTCCCTGTATTTTGCATAGTGCTGACACTGGAAGTACTAAAAGTCCTGCCTTGGTGTGACTCCATTAATTAGCTCTGGTGGCACTGTATCTTTGTGCCTCTACTCACAGCCTGTTAATCAAATCCTTGCTTGAGATCTATCAGAGCAATGGAAGACCACAGAAGCCTCGCCCCCGAATAGTCATCTACTTCCTGCTTAACTGGCTTTTGGATCCCCAGGCCTGTCTTTAGGAAGAACCCCATGCATAGGCTGAGAGTTTTCCTGTCTCCTAGTGAGCATCCCTTTCTTTCCAGTTCTCCTCCTTCCTTCCCAGTCTGGCCACACAGATTGGGGCCATTAGGATACATTTGGTTGTACCCAGGACCTGGCTCCATGCTTGGGCAGCCAGACAAGGCAGCTGGGTGAGCAGGAGGAGGTGTCTGATGGAATGAGGACTTCATTTAGCTATTTCTTTAACTCAGACTTCTTGAGCAGCTACTCTGAACCTTAGGCTTTTGGTTTGGCCTTTCACTTGTCAGGTGAGCAGCAGCTCCACTGGCCAATCACATCTCTGCTTGCATCCCAGTCCTTAGCCAGACCATGCCCCTCCATTCTTTCCCAGTTAGAGCAACAGCTCCTGTTGCCTGTGCATCCCTTCCCTCCCCACGGCTCCCCTGGGAGGCTCACTCACCCTTCGGCGTTCATTTCAAATGCTGTCTCGCGACAGCCTCTCTCAGCATCTTCCCCTCTTACCTTCTCTCCCCTGAACTTCTAGATTTACTGTCTGGGTCATTTATTTTGGCACTGAGGCAGGGTCTAAGATCCCTTGTGGCTATTCAGCTGTTTAGTGTGTGTACAACTTGCTTCTAGCTAGACACTGAGCTCCTGGGAGGCAAGATCATGGCAGGCATGTTTTTACCAAGCTCTTTCGATGCTTAGTACATTGTTAGGCATTCAGCAATTGCTTTATACTGGAGGGAGGTGGATAGTGAGCTGGAGCAGCAGATGAGATGCGTTTTGTCATTTGTTCTTCTGAGGGCCTTGCTAGGATGCATCCCTGGTCCCAATCTCAGACCCTGGGTAAGAACATAAAAGGAATTACCTCCAGTGTTTATGGTTGCCCAGAGAGGTTGAGAATCTCACTGATCTCAGGTTGAAGCTGCAGGTACTGCCTCATCCTGGGGGGCCTCCTCCCTGTCCATTAATACACACGTGACCGGGAGTGTGTACATTTGCACTGTGGCTGGAAGGGAGCAAGCCTAGTCTTTGTTTTCCGGGGGGAAGCAGGCTGCCAAGTTTATGGAATAGCTTTTGTATGTGTTTGGGTGTGTGAGGCTGTAGGGCCAGGTGTGCATGAGAAGCCTTGGCTGTGACCCTCTGATGTCATTTAGCATCACCCTGCTAACCTGAAGGTCTTGGAGCTCCCAGAGAAGGCAGAGCAGAACTCACACCCAGTGCCCCCCCGATAAGCATGTAGTCCCAGGACCTGAGACCTAGCCCTGAGGAATGATAGGGGCTGTGGGTTCTATGTGTCCCTTTCCTGAGGTGGCTGCCCTCAAGTGCCTTTCCTCCTAGATGTTCCCCAAAGTTGCTGTTCCTGCTCCTTCCCTCCCTGGGGCCCCATGTTCAGGAGGACTGGGATGTAGGTCTCAGGGGTGAGTCTGCTGCTACATGCCCCCCTGCCCTCCAGCCCGAGGAGCTCACCAACGCCCTGGAAATCAGCAACATCGTCTTCACCAGTCTCTTCGCCCTGGAGATGCTGCTGAAACTGCTCGTGTATGGTCCCTTTGGCTACATCAAGAATCCTTACAACATCTTTGATGGTGTCATCGTTGTCATCAGGTATGATTTTTCCCTCCTGCCTCTGACTGGAAGAGTGCCAGCAGGGATAACTTGAGGTGGAAGGTGTGGCCTCTGTACTCCATCCTCTAATCCTGTCCCTGGGCCTCATTTTGTTCTCCTGGAACTGGGGCTCACAGTTCCTTTAGCTGAGCCCTTCTTCCATCTCCTCTCCCCACACCTACTTCTTGTCCTCAACCCCACCCAGCTCTGGGATGGGTGAAGATTAGGGAGTTGGCTCTGGAGTGGAGTTGGAAGAGGAGTGAGACCCAGCAAGCTTCCCTGCTTGCAAAGTGCTTGGAAACCAACTCAGACGCCCAGCAACTTGTTCTAGGGTCTTGTTCCAAGACCTTGGGAAAGGATTCCAACATGCGCCATCCCCACCCCACCTCCACTCCAGGCCCAGGGCCAGGAGGAGTGCTTTATTAGTTTTTGGAATTGGCTTTAGATTTCATTAGAAGAGATCAAAGCAAATATTCCATAATTTGATACCATTGCATTGGCTGGCTTTAGGGAAAATATTGCCTGCTGCCACTAGGTGATCTCTGCCTGGGAGAAGGGAGTCAAGGGGGCTGGAGCTGTCACCTGGATCCTTAGCACTTTGGAAGTACCTGTCTGAAGGCCAGATGGGGCCATGCATGACCCTTCTCCAAGCTGGGCTTAGGTAGCTGGGCCCCAAATGTCACCAATGGGTCCTATGAAAGGGAAGAAAGAAGGCAGAGATACAGGGACTCAGGCTGCCTGCCTCCTGCAGCGTGTGGGAGATTGTGGGCCAGCAGGGAGGTGGCCTGTCGGTGCTGCGGACCTTCCGCCTGATGCGGGTGCTGAAGTTGGTGCGCTTCCTGCCGGCACTGCAGCGGCAGCTTGTGGTGCTCATGAAGACCATGGACAATGTAGCCACCTTCTGCATGCTGCTTATGCTCTTCATCTTCATCTTCAGGTGAGCACACTCAGGCCAGGTGCAGGGTGGGACCAGGGATGGGAGCAAAGGGTCCTGACCCTGTCCCGGGGCTCCCTGTGTCTCCAGCATCCTGGGCATGCATCTCTTTGGCTGCAAGTTTGCATCTGAACGTGATGGAGACACGCTGCCAGACCGGAAGAATTTTGACTCTCTACTCTGGGCCATTGTCACTGTCTTTCAGGTGCGAGGGTCACAGGGCAGGGGTGAGTGGGGAGGTCCAGTGCCTAGTCAAGCCCTGACTCCTGTCCCCTGCCTGCAGATTCTGACTCAGGAGGACTGGAATAAAGTCCTCTACAACGGCATGGCCTCTACATCATCTTGGGCTGCCCTTTACTTCATCGCCCTCATGACTTTTGGCAACTACGTGCTCTTTAACCTGCTTGTCGCCATTCTGGTGGAGGGCTTCCAGGCAGAGGTAACCCCCTGCCCTGCCCACCTCACCTTAACCAAGGCAGTCTTCTGATTCCCAGTAGGAATGACTGCCTGTCTTGAACTTCCTCTTCTCTCCACTGCTGACTGTAAGGCTTGGGAGATCCTGTAGATAGCAACCCGTGGACTAAGCCAGGGTGGGCCTGGGGTGGGAGGTGCTGTTCCTTATGCAGCCTTTCATCAGGGGTGAGGCAGGATGGCTATGTGTGGTCCCTGGGTTATAAGTTAGCAACTGGCTTCTCCTTCAGCTGGCTGCAGCCCTTCCCTAGAAAGATAAGCCAGGTGTGGGGACTTGTGTAGCAGGACCCTGGAGCACAGTCCCTCCATGGGATATCTGGGGAGGACCCATATGGGCTGAGGGATGTGGGAGGCTTGTGTGCAAGTCATCTGAGCATAGGCTGAGCCGATGAAGATGCCACTAGGGCCCCAGGCAGGACTGAGCTGCCCAGGGTGAGAAATGAGCCCAATTAGCTGCGGCCATGACAGAGATGACCGTCCTATTTCCAGCCCAGACTCCATCACCTCCGTCACAGGCAGCGTCATCAATTAATATTGATTCACATTGATCCTGCCATGGCCATGCCAGGGTGCAGCCTCTGCCCAAAAGGCCTCACCCTCTTTTCCTTTCCTTCTGCCTGTCTTCCCATCTAAGCTTTCATACCCACGCCACATCCTGGCATCTCAAACAGGGCAGATTGACCCAACCTAGAAATGTGTCAGGTTGGGTCTGGAGAAGCTCTTGGTCCAGTTCTCTCTGGGTGACCCGGATGGAAACTCCCGCTGCGGCCTAGTCTATAAATACCCGGCACACGGTGGAAAAACAAGAATCTATTTTCCGACTCTTTCCCAGCCTTGCAAAGGAGGGTTGTTCCCTGTGGGCCAGGCTGGGGGGTGGAGGAGGGCGTTGCAGGAGCATCTGTCCCACACCGGCCTTTCTCTGCTTCCGTTTTAATTCTGTAGTTATCCATTATTGCATTTCCTCCCTGCTGGGTGGCAACAAGGGCAGCTGGAGGCAGAGGGCTTTGGTGATGCCCGAGCTTCTTGCAAGGATGGAGAGTCGTTGGCACTCTCCTTGCAATGGGACACTTCTTTTGGGTTTCCCTGGGTCCTGAAGAGTTGAGGGATACTATAGGGCTCCCTCAAGAGCCTCACACTTGGCAGTTGCTAGGTACCTGTGGGAGGAAGAGTTGAGTAGGGACTGGTCCCTTCAGTCCCTTCCAAACGCAATTTGTGATGACAGCTTACCCTCAGAAACAATCCCCATGTAACTCTGTGGAAAGAAGTGGACAACACCTGAGCCTGTTCTTCTCCCTCACCAAGCTGCCATGATAGTCCTGGGGGTGTCCAGTGCAGACAGCCCCCTCCCCACCACTCAGATTTCTCAAACACCTTGTTAAATTGAGTGCAGCTGAGCTGGCCTGGTTGCTAGGCAGCAGCAACGTCTGAGTGTGGGAACAGAGCTGCCTGGCCCTCACACCCGGCCTGGTCACCCTGCCCTGCTAGGGGCCTGAGAGCTTTCCCAGCATGGAAAGATTTGACCAGGGCCCCATGGACCACCCCCCTCTTCGACTTTCATAATATAAGTGCCCTTTGGGGAGGGTATTGCCCAGGGCCTACTGCCTTGAACAGCTGGGATGCTTCAGGTGTGGGATGGAGAAAGTATTTCAAGGTTAAACCTCCACCACTGGGTAGGCCAAAGCTGTGATCCTGAAGGGTCCATGTAAGGGCTGGACCAGCCGTGCCATTGTTTACATGTACTGCCATAGCTGTAGGAGTTACTATTCAATACTGATGACCTAGGCACATCCACAGCCACCTGCTGTCACTCTATGGAGTTTCAGGAGGCCCCATGGCCTAGCAGAGAATGCTGCTTTGGGGGTTGTGATGACCTGAAATGTTGTTTTGTCTCTATGAATAAGACAACCTACCTTAGTGGAAGGACTGGCTGCCCCATTTTGGTGAACTTCAGCAGGTGACCTCAACGGTAGCTTTCATGCTGGCTTTGACATCCTGCCAAGAGTGGGTCGGGGGTGGCCTCAGGGACAGAGCCTGCTTGTCTCCTGGTTCCCTGACTCCCAGGGGGCAGCGCCCTGAGTTCCTGCATATTTGTCATCCATGCACTTAATTTAATGAACAGGCAGCAGGCCCTGTGTGTGGCCATTAATTGATAATAAATAACATCATGGCTGCCATCCCACTGTGACTTGTCACATCCCATCCCACTCTGAGCATATGCATCCAGTCTGACTTGAAGGGACTGGGGATGAAAGTCTTGGAATTGATAAGGCCTAGCTGTGCTCCTCATCAAGGCCCCGTCCCTGGCTTTTGTCCACTTCTCTTTCCTACCCCCTCTGCCCATTGCCACCATCCCTGCCCATTTCCACACACATGCCTCAATACAGGGACAGGGGAGCTGTGTTCACAGCTGGAGGTGGAAGGCATGGCCTGCAACCTTTGACTTTGTACTATGTGGAGCAATTTCTTTAACTTCTCTTACCTCAGGTTCCTGCCCTGAAAGATGGTTGTAGCTATGCCATCTCCCACCATGTGAGGAGGTGAGCTAGTGCTCATAAGCAGTTTAAGGCTGAGCATGGTGGCACATGCCTACAAGCCTAGCACTTGGAAGGCTAAGGCAAGAGGATCATGAGTTCCATGCCAGCTGAGCCACATAGTGAGACCCTGTCTCAAAAAAACCAAGAACTGGGGCTATAATTCAGTGGTAGAGCACTTGCCTAGCATGTGCAAGGCCCTGGTTTTGATCCCCAACACCACTGAAAAGCATGGTGGTGGATATTGTTACCAAGATGACTGGGGAGCTTGATCCTTTCCTGCCCTTGTCTTATCTTTGTGGCCTCTGCCTTCACCGTTCAGATTCATTCAGGCCTGGGGGACCTGAGGTTGAATTCTGGAAGGCCATTGTGTCCCACTCCCCTACCCTGTGTTTCTCATTTCCTTTTCCTCATCCTCTTGGGACACTGCTGATATTTGAAGGCCCAAGTACCTGTGACCAGCGGCCCTCCCCTGCCTTCCCCTCTCCCTGTAGGAAATCAGCAAACGGGAAGATGCGAGTGGACAGTTAAGCTGTATTCAGCTGCCTGTCGACTCCCAGGGGGTAGGTATGCGATCACGAGTCGGCATGCCCCTGTGCCCATTGCCCCCTCCACTCTACCTCTGTGTCTCTGTGCTCCTGTTCACACTCAGCTGCTGTGTAACCTGTGGTCGCTGTGGTGGTCATTGGTGTTGTGAGGTTTGCTTTGATTTTAAGTCCCTTCCCCTTGAGGACATGGAAAGGAGGAGCTTCTTTGCCTCTGCCCCCATCAACCTTCAGAGGGTACATTCCCATCCCTGCCAGGCCTGTGGATGGGCCAGAAAAGAAAGGGACTTAGAATCCTCTATGTGCACGTGTATGTGGGCACCGCATGTGTGCCTGCCTGCACCCAGGTCCTAGAGGAGTCTGGGACAACTGGCCTCAGCTCTCCCACTTTCTCCCCTCCACCCTTTGCCTTGAGCCCCCTCTAGAGACCCCACAGCTGCCTCAGTACAGAACAAGTCTTTGGAGAATGTAGGGGTGGGATGTGACTCTTGCCATATTGTACCAAAATTTTAAATCTGCCTCTGAATCTTTGGCTACCCAATCGCCAAATTAAGTCCTGCCAGTTGTCTCTGGGCATGTCCCTCCTTCAGGTCCCTCATGCTGAGCCTGTGTCCTGCTGTTTCCTACATTGGCACTAGAATTTGGAGTGATGCCAGACTTCCCGCGGGACCCCATGGTGCTGTGCATCCCCAGCAGCCCCCTGGAGATCCCACTTGATAATTAAAGGCCTCGTTAGGGATGTAAACTGAGTTAATGAAAATGATCCCCTGAGATGCCAATTATCCAATATTTGTGTCCTTATCAAAAGTAGCAATCAAGTATTTTTTAATAACTTCTTAAGGAGAAGTGTATAATTACTGGGAAACCTACTGACCTGCTAAGAAGGAAGAAAAAAACTATCCCAGAGACAGAGAGAGAAGTAAAAATGGGGCCAGGAAGGGGCTGGGGTTTGGGGAAGTTGAAGGGTAAAGCTAAGGGACTGAAGTGGCATCCTTGTACTGAGTTGTTCTGGCTCGGGTCTTCCTTCCAGGGTCCTCCGGTGTGAGATGGAGGGAGGGGCAACACAAAGAGCAGGAAGGGGGCCTCAAGTAGACTTGAAATTGAGGCTCTAGTGACCACTTCACCCAGGTTCTCAATCCCTCTGGCCTGTGTCACCTGCCCGTCTAGCTACCCTATCTTCCCCCAGCCAGCCTTGGTGCCAGTCCAACCAGGCTGGTTGTTCTGTGGGCTTGGGTTATCTGTGGCCTTTCCTAAGGTATAGCTGGTGGGAGGCAGAGGCATTGGCCCTGGGAAGCCCCAGGCCCCCAGCCTGGGTGGTCTGGCCTGCCCTATGCATGCCTCGTACCGTGGTTGCTGGTTCCCGTGACCTATGTGTGGTGTGTTCATGTGAAGAGAGGTAGACCTTGTTCCATGCTAATAATACCTTCCTGGCCAGGGTCCTAATGGCACACTTTTCCCTGACCCTAGGGAGATGCCACCAAGTCTGAGTCAGAACCCGATTTCTTTTCACCCAGCATGGACGGTGATGAAGAGAGGAAGAAGCACTTGGCCTGTGAGTATCAATCCTGAGGTATAGCCCCAGGCCCTGGATGAGCCCTATGTAGACAGACTCAGGTTCTCCCCTTTCCTCCTGCAGTGGTGGCCCTGGGAGAACACCCAGAGCTGCGGAAGAGCCTGTTGCCACCTCTCATCATCCACACAGCTGCCACACCAATGTCGCTGCCCAAGAGCTCCAGCACAGGCCTGGGCGAGGCACTGGGCCCCAGTTCTCGACGCACCAGCAGCAGTGGGTCCGCTGAGCCTGGGGCTTCCCATCATGAGATGAAGTCACCGGTAGGAGGTTGCATGTGGATGCCTCATGGTGGGAGATAAACAGAGGACAACAGGATGAGGGAATGGAGGCAAGGCAGGTCCAAAAGGACAGTCCTTGCGATATGGGCTGGGCAAGGTGGTCAGAACTGGAAAACAGACCTGTAACCAAGAATCCTAGGGGTGCCTAGGAGGTCAAAGAGTAGGGCTCTAATCCTACCTCTTCTGTTTTCTTGTTATGTTACCTTGGGCAAGACTTAACCTTTCTGAGTCTCTTCTGTAGAATGAGATGAGGTGCATTGCCCCACCGTTGTGTGAGAGGTACCATCATTGTCTCCATTTTACCAATGGGACCTCAGCCTCAGTGGCTGATGTGAGTGACAAAGCCACCCTTGTAGTGCAAGAGACTGGTGTCAGAGCCTGTGTACTCACTGTCATTTATTTTTTATTTTAAGACTATTTATTTATTTATTTATTTATTTATTTATTTATTTATTTATGTCTTTTTGAGACAAGGTCTCCCTGTAGCCCCAGCTGCCCTGGAACTCACTATGTAGACCAGGCTGGCCTTGAACTTAC